AGGCTGGCTACAGCGGAGGCCTCATGTCCTTTGCTGTCCTCTGTGCACTCCAGTGACGCTTATCAGTGCGGCTTTAGGAGCACGGCCCTGGAAATCCCAGATGCACACTCTTCCTGTTTGAAGCCCTCCTAAAGACGTTCAGTGCTGCTCTCAAACTCCAGTGAACACCGTCTCCCCGCTCCTGTGTAGCCAAGCCTCAGCTCACTGATGTGTTTAAAGTAACATTCTTCACACTCGGTTCTCATGGGCAGCACACTCCACCCAGGCTTGACTGGAGAGACTGTCTGTGCTATTTTCTTCCACTGGACAGATTCACTTAAAGCTTATTTTATGGAAACCAACCTGGAAATGACCAGGCCTTTAGAGACAGTGGTGGGAATCGGTCACATCAGATACATATCCTCCTGGGAACGCAGAATTAGTAGAGGTAAACATTGACTGTAGTCCAAAATAATCATAGAAAATTGAAGAAAACACCAAACAAACAGAATTTTAAAAATTCAGGAGGGACATTATGTAGTACACTTGAGGAGAAAAAGCAGATTTTATTAACGTAAAGCCAGGAGAAAAAAAATGGTTGTGTTTCAGGACAGCAGGGCCTTCAGAGAACTACCAGAAACACATTTAGACGGTGCTGAGCTTCACAGATCCTCCTGGAGGAAACCAACTCTAACACAGAATCATGATGCTCCCCGAGGTCAGTGTCCAGGGTCTTCAAGAGCAGAACTCTGTAAAATTCACTGACGTTTTTTACTAGATGACTAATTAAAAAGCAGTTAATGAGAGTGATCATCCTGAGCAATGGAACTCAGCCATGGAAGAGCTTCATGACCCTGAGGCCGTGTGCAGGCCTGGCTTCCCCGGTGAGGTCCTGCTTCCCAGGAGGAACACACAGATTTTAGCAGAAGCTATTCAGAGCTTCCAGAGTGCGGGATGGTTGGGATGAGGTGAAAAAGGGCTTTGGGAGGAAGGAAGGAATAAGCACATAGTGAACTTTTGTTTGTAGCAGAAAGTAAACTGAAGGAAGCCCTCCAAAGTGGCAACCCGGCTGGGTTGGCTGGGTGGTGGGTGTGGGCAGAAGAGCATATGCTGGACGAGCCTGCACATCCGGGAAGCATCTCTCATCCACTCCTATCTATGAGGTCATGTTGGCAGCTTGAAATCAATTGAGGTGGTGAGTGGTATTTACACCACGGGAATTGGCAATAGGCAAAAAGTACTGACGGGATCCTCTCCCTCCCGCAGAGCCAATCACTCAACATTACCACACACCTCAGGATCTGTTAGATGAAATTCTGGTGGGAACAGTTCTCTGAAGTTCCTGTATTAAAAATAAACCTCACCACCTTCTGTTGTTGCTTCTCTGTTTTAATTACTAATACACAGTGGCATTCTTCAATTATCTTTTATTACACATCCGAAGTGGCCCAGCATTCGTGGGCTCTCCTGGCAAACCCACCCTCATTTAATACATCGTATCCACAGGGAAATATTTCCAAGTTGCAAGTTACTGACTTTAAAATGAACTTTTGGAGAAGAGCCCGTTTATAATTTGAGGATTTTCCATTCTGGGTCCTCAGGGAAGTTAGAGAACAAAAGAACCACATCAACTTCTGATACTATATAGGTTACAAAATATATCCTAAGTAAAAAGGCAAATGGAATAGAATTATTTAGCTTGAGGAAGAGAAAGAGGAGAAGCAATTTAATTATGGGAATGAGTGCTAGCTGTTTTGTTTTCTTCATTTTTTGTGTTTGGGGAGTTTTTGCAGTTGTTCCCGTGAGCCTCAGGGATTTGGTTAGATACGGGCATGAATATCTGTATGGGATTATTCTTGGATGAATGACTTGTGGATTTTATTTCAAACATTTGCAAACTTCCTTTCCTCCATCAGGGATAATTTCATATGATCTGTGTTAAATGCCATTAAATAGTTAAAACAAGGTCACTTTAAGGGTACTGTCTTAGGATCCTAAGTCTACAAATGATGTAATGCATCTCAACATTCTGAGAAATGTGATGTAATTCAACAAATCTTTCATAATATGTCTTAGAATACTTACATACAAAATTTATCAAAAAATGAATATTATGAAACTTAGACTATCTTATTAGCATAGAAACCTTAAATCAAGCATTCTAACCCAATGATTTTCTATGATTTAATGGGGGAGCTGATGTTATTTGGAGCCGGTTAAATTAGTATTATTTGAGTTATTCATTCAGAAGGGATGGAGATGTTACATGCTAAAGGAGAATGCAGTAATCTGATTTGGCATTTCCTTAAAACGATCTGAAACAATGAAATGACAGCTGTAAATCTGCCACTTGGAAGCTTAAACGATTCCCATCACTCCTGGGCCTTAGCTTAGCAGTTGGTTTATGATGCGGTTTCAGAATAACACATTTAAGCTTGGTGTGTCCCTTCCTCCAAAACTGACATAAATCCATAACGCTTTTTAATGATGACTCTAAAATACACCAAAAGTATTCTCTGAGGCATATTTTTGGATTGTTTATCTAAGATCTTTAGGTTCCTGAATTTCCCCTTCATGATCTGCCTTGGAACGGCTGTCTCCAGTTTAGCTGATAAATGCACACTATCACCCGGGCACACGGCTCAGCTACCTGCTCCATCGGGTCGCCATCCTGCCTTATCCTCCCAGGCGTATCAGCTGGGAGCCTGTTTAAAATGCTGATGCCAAGGCCCCTGAGCCAGGACCTCTGTGCTCACCTCTGGGACCCAGCCTGGGGACCAGCATTTTAATGGCCTTCCACGCAGGCCATCTGTGACTTATGGGTTCTGCTCACTCTCTGGCTGCAGCTCTGGCTCTGGGGAGAACCTGGCAGGGGGAAGCTTAGGTTCTCCAAGGGAACACTGTGCACCTGCAGCTTCAGGGCCTCGGAGGCTTTTCCTGCTCCATTGCCTTCCCAGGAACTCAGCCTTGAACTTCAAGTACCTGGTGGGTTTGTTTTTCCTGCCCAGATTTCCTGACTGCCTGCCTGCCTCTGCTTTGTTTGAATCCTCTGGGCTCCCTTCCTCCTCCTCTTCTAAGCCCCAGGTCAGCCTCTTCTTTCCCACATGCCTGAACCTGTTCTCAGAGGAGGCCCCACATTTTCTGGTAGACTCTCTCCATGCTGAAGTGAACTCCACAGTGTGTTGGCCCCAGGTGGCCTGCCCTGGCTCCCTGCTCAGCTAGACGCAGTTCCAGAGGCCTGTCCCAGGAATGCACATCTCTCCCAGAGACCCTGAATTACAAAGACAAGAGTCACCTGTGTCACATTCACTGTACCCCAATAACCAAACTAAAATGGGGTGGGAGCCTCCACAGACTGTTCCAAAAGGGGCCGTGGGTGTAGTCCAGTGGCACGATGCCTCAGCCTGAAGGCTCGCTCTCCGCCAAATGTCTTTGCACATTTCTCAGCTGCATGCCTCACTGTGTTCCAGGGTCCCCCTGTGTATACCTGGTCCTGGGAATACCCCCACTGCATTTGAGTAGCCTGTTTCTCTAAATCCTCCTCGGGATCGAGAGCATCTTAAGTGCAGGGGTTGTAACTTCAGTGCCCAGAATTGTGCCCAGTACACAGTCGGTACTAAAAGAACAGAAAGCCAACTCAGGCCATGAGGGTTCTCGTCCCATGTCTGCCACATCTGCACGGTAACACTCGCCACGCTGTGCTCAGATGGTTGACCTGTCTCCTCCAACACGGGCCACGCCGTGAGAGGAAAGGCTCCTCACAGACCAGCGCCATTTTTGTTTCTCTTCACATCCCAACAAGCCCTGCAGCAACTGGCATGGGTGAAGTATTGGTTCAATCTTGTGTTTCCCAAAAAAAATTACTTTGGGATTTTGAGCAACACAGTTCTTTATTGTGAAAGACAGTCCCAACATTAAGGGACAGCCTACTGTCCCTACCCCTGCCTGCTAAAAGCCATTAGTACCCCTCCAATGGGATACCTATCTAACAATGTCCTCCTCTGTTCATCATACTGTGGAGCAGTGTTTGCAAAATATATTCTGCATCGTGTCAATGCTGTGGCGTGTTGGGTGTTGTGGGATTAATGGGTTCCCTGGGCAGTGAGGTGTGAGAAATGCTTTGGAAAGGCATATGAAGAGGGTCATGAAACTAACTTTGAAGACCACAGGCATCTTCATAGGGTGACTCGGCCGGTCAGTGAACATGGGTGAGCAAAGCATGGGCAACCGGCACAAGGAGCCTGTCTGCCAGGAAGTGATTAAAAACCGATTAGCCCTGATTAGGCTATCAGAAAAGCATCATGCAGGAAGGGTGAGTGACCTTCCTTCTTGTTTCTTAATGATGATAATAATAGATACTATTTATTTAGAGCCAATTACTCTCCACTTCACAGATGAAATACTGAGGCCTGCAGAAGTCGGTTAAGTGACTTCCCCTAAGCCACACAGCTAAGTGACCCCAGAGCCGAATCTGAATCCAATTCTCTCTAATTTTATCTTTTGTGAATGGAAGCCCTATACACAAAGCCCCCCGGGTCTTAGGGTTTATGTTGGGCCTTTCTATGTGAATAACCAAATCAAACCCAATCTCAAAGAGAATGCACAAGTGGGCTCCTTAAATCAGGGCTTTATGCTATAATTCTGCCTTTATTTTTCAGCCTGTCTCCTTAAACCAAAAATCAGTTGTTTGGTTCTGAGCAGCGTACATGACATCTTTTTTTTTTTTCTAGTATGATTTCAGTTTCTTAGTTTTTATTACAGTTTTTTAATCTTGCAGATTTCCATACTCTGTTACATGCTCGATTTGTTGATTGGTTTGTTTTTGATAGGCTATTTGTGTTGATGAAATGGCAGACATCTGCCTAGTTTACTCAGACTGACACCTCCTAGGGCCAGTGTGACCCTCAGTGACCTGTCTTCGAGGCCATCATGAAGTCAGCAGTCTACCCAAGTTGAACACCTTGGCTGGGTTGGTGCCAACCCTGCCCTCATTTTTCAATTTCACCTTTCCTTTTCAACAGATGTTGGTGCGTTTTTTGAAGAGGGGATGTGGCTTCGGTACAACTTCCAGGCACCTGCAGTCAGTTCCAAAGACTCGGGCAGTAGAGCAGAGAACTCTCTGGACCAGCAGCACTCGGGCCCAGACCTGGCTCAGGAGCAGATCCATTTCAGCTTCAGCACGACCAGGGCACCCTGCATCCTCCTCTACGTCAGTTCTCTCACCACGGACTTCTTGGCAGTTCTCGTCAAACCCACCGGTAAGGACAAGGATAGCTAGCCTTCCGCCATCCCACAGTGGGCAGACAGAATGTTCTAGAAGGAGTCTGGATGGTTCTGTCTTGTTCTTTATTCCCCATAGGACATTAAGAGAGTTGCCTAACTTCTTCAAACCTCGTTCTCTGTATGAAATTCAAGAAAAACCTCATTGGTAGAGTGCTTTGTAGCATTGTGTTTTAGCAGTAACGTTGATGAGGTATATCAATGCCTTTCAAGAACCATATTACATGAATATAACCCCTCTTGGGTTTCACAAGTATAGTGATCATTTTTTGTTCCCATTAAATAAACACCTTTGCCACTGTGTTGAATAGATATGAGCTTTGAAGTAGTAAAATTAATTTTGTATAAATCAATGAACTATCCTGATTTATGATATTGTATAGAAAGAGACATTTTCATCCCTAAATTCCCTGAGAATTTTACTTTTATAAAATACACCCCTGGAATAAGGGTTGCTGAAAGCAGGGGTGTGTTATTACTTGTAATGCCCAGGTGCCATCTTGACACCCCTGTGCTCTGAACCAGGCAGGATCCTGGTTATAATGCGCAAACGGGCTTTGGCCCTCCCATAGGGCCCTCTGAGAGGAGTCTGGCCAGTCCTGAACTGGAATCCATCTCCACTCTGAAACACCAGTTTGCATATGGTTAAAGTTTCAAGATCACTTTTTTAGGAATAAACATGTTTGGTGTGTGAAGGAAGAGCTCTCTGCCGCTCACTCCTACAGAGACCGTGTGAGCTCCAGCTGTGAAGCCCCCCATCATCCATCTCTCCTCACTGTCCACAAGCACTCCAGTGTTGGGGCATCTTAAAGATCAAGATCTTCTCCCATGGGAGCCAAAAATTACTATTAACCCAACTTAGCTAGGGTTTTAAGAAATAGCAAAATTTAAACTCCTTCTGTAGGCAAGACTCTGTTGGTAAAAAGAATGTGAGAAAATGCATTATCTGGAATTTTCCCTTTCAGAAATCATTCCTAAAGAAATAAGACCAAAATCACACAGGATTCATGAAACCTGAGGATGTTCATCATGGAGCTGTTTATAAACAGATTAGATAGAGCCTAGGAGTTTGTTCTAGTATAAGAGTGAAAAAGACAGGCATCAATTTACGGAATAATAGGTATTCATCAAAAATAATTTTTATGCAGAGCAACTAATGACATATGGAAATTTTGTGTAACATAATGGTAAACAAAAAAAAAAAAAAAAGAGGTACAGCCTTGAATCTACAATCAGCTTAGCTCTGTAAAACAAATTTAAAAATAGCAATAATGTGAGCTCAGGTCTTTGATTGGATTGTGGGTGATTTGTTTCTCCTGAGTAATATTCTTCTGTCCATGTCAGATGCTCACACTGGGCAAGTGTTGCTTTTCTAGTCAGAAAAGAAAAAAAAGAATAGCAAGTGAAATCAGAAAGTAAGAGTGCAGGAGAGAACACGTGCATCCCCTGTTTTCCAGGAGATCACTGGTTTATTTCCTCTGGATCAGGAGAAATGGATTTTTTAATCCATTCTCCATCCAGATGTACCAGCTTCCAAGTGGGCAGATAGCCCTTGGGCTTCTTCTCCTCCCCCGGGAGGAGGGCTCTCACCTTGAGATGGTCAGAATTTGGTGAGCATGCGCTGTAGATGCTGTGTCGCCCACTCCTCCACCTCTGCCACACCAAAATTTGGTCCCAGTTAAATTTCAGTGACACCTTCCCACAGCCATGGCAGCGTTGCGTGCACGTGTTCCCCTGGGTGGGGGCGTTCCTTGGCAGGTGGGTGGGGGATGCTTTGAGCAATTGGTTCCTTAGCGATGGCCGCCACCTGACGTCGCTCACTGCATCCCCACCACCATCCTAAGTGTTTCAGGAGCGCTGATTCCCAGGAGCCACACAGCTCCAGGAGGGAGATCCTCTTATGCCTTTCTACAGATGGCAAAGCTGGTGCGCAGAGAGGTTCAACGACTCGCCCACTCAGCTGCTGAGGGCAGGGCTGGGGTTTCTGGGTGCAGGTGTCTGATTCCAGGCCCAGACCCCTCCGGTCCCTCTGGACAGTCAGTGCATTTGGCGGAAAAAAATCAGGCCATTTCTTTCCAATTGTTGCCAGGCCATCCTCAAACTGCTGGTGAAAAGTCAACCTTTTTACATTCCAAATACTGCATTTTTAAATTTCTGGAGGAAAAATAATCAATAACGTCTATGTATGACAAAATATAAGGGGGAGGAGGGACTAACAAACTAGAAAGTCTTGGCTAAAACTCCTGCTGTCCTTCGGACTTCGTGAGCTGAAAGGTCTTGTTGCTGTTCCCCAGAGCCATCCTCTCTGGAGCCTCCTTGTTCTGACAGCCACCACCACCTCGAAGATGCTTGAGCTCCATCTGCGAATGCTCGGTCCTCCCCCTCCTGAGGGCCAGGCTCCTGAGGACTCGGCTCCTACCCTGTCCCCTTGCCCCTAAAACTACTCTCCACCGCACACGTCCACATCAGTGGTCCCCAGCATCCCCCACGTCATGCAACCATAGAAATGGACTGCATTTGAATGGTGTATATATTTAAGACCTAGGTACTCATTTAATTTTTAAAATCATTCAATGATTATTTTGAAGTATTGAGTTATTCAAACTTGGCCCTCCCACAGTGCCCTATGAATTATTCAAATTTGGCCCAGCTGTGGGTCAGCTGTGTTTGTAGGCTCCCCACCGGGGACTGCGGCTACCCTGCCTCCCATGGATCTGCTGAGTGCTGAGGGCAGCGTCACCTACCACCCCATTACCCAGGGTAGGATAGCACATCCCGCTGGGAAGCTCTGGTCCATCTCTCTGCTTCGAGTTGCTTCGGGGTTGAAACTGGATCTAAGTTGCATCAGCCTTTCCCAGCACACCTGGAAAAGTCCTCCTTCATATGGACATCGTTTCCTGGAGATAGTGTATACTGTCCCTATTAAACACTTAACAGAGCCCCCGCATGGAGAGCAAGGGAGATCCCTAACCTCACAGCCTTGCAGGCAGCACCTCCAGCCTCACAGGGAAGAGCCTGGACTGTCTGGATTGGAATTCTGCATCTGCCTTTTGCCAGTTGACCTGGATGATCAGTAAGCAACCCCATGCCTCAGTTTCCTGATTGTAACATAGTGTCTCCCTTATTGAATTATTTTGAAAAGTAAATGAGTACCCAGGTCTTAAGCACTACATGGTGTATACATGCAGTGGCCCACGGGTGAGGCTGAGTGATTACTCTCACCAAAATCCACTGAGTCCATCCATATTTTGCCACCTATTCAGCAGCCCCTGCCCTTCGATTTCAAGAAGCAGGTACTCCAGTCGTCCGCGATCCTCTATCCTGGCCTCTTGCCCGCGATGCTCCTAGACCCACACACCCTCCGCCTGGCTCTTCAGTCCACACCTGTCTTTCATCCGAGGCCCACATCAAGGCTCACCTCCTCACAATGACTTCTCCTGACTTCAAACTCCAATTACGCTTATTTTCAATGTCATTTGTTTGGCACTTAATGTACTGTATTGTTATCTGTCTCTGTTATAAATACAGCCTGTCTTCCCAGGAGATGAAAAGCTCCCAGCACTACATCTCCTGCCTACAATAGGTGCCCTGTAAGTGTTTGCTGATGATAATGATGAAGACTAGGAGAGAATAAATCTGTTAAGTACGTTATTTGCTGCAGCCCAATAAAAGAGCAGTCCCTTATAACGGCTTTAATTCACCTGGGAGATGAACATGATATAGAAGAAGTGAAGTACCCCTCATTTGAATAATATTTTACTTTAATGGGTAAATATTAACATCCTCCCCACCATCATTTAGTGATCCTCTTCTGCTATTATTTGAAAGGAATAAATATATCATTTAAATTTTATTTTTCAAGAATATTCCCACTGTTGTTTATAGATATTCATTCTATATAAATTTAAAGTTCCAACTCATCTTTTTTGTCAAAGCGAATAATTTCTGTTACTATTAAGTGAAGCATTTATAGGAATTTTAAATCACATCTTCAAAACCCAACAAAGCCGGGAAAAAATAATGAAAACAACTCAATACTGATTTTTTTTTCCTGCCCAGTACTAGGGATTGATCGAGGTCTCGCATGCTAGGCAAGCGCTCTACCACTGAGCTACATCTCCAGTCCTTTTTATTATTTTATTTTTGAGACTGGGTCTCACTAAGTTGCCCAGGCTGGCCTCACACTTATAATCCTCCTACCTCCATTTCCCAAGAAACTGGGATTATAGGTGTGTACCCCCACACCCAGCTGATTTTAATGGAACGGGAGAAAATAAAAGGACCACTGAAAGTCAGGAGGCATATGGACCAGGTTCTGCGTAATCACTTGGTCCTCTCACACTCACATCCAGAGCCTTCTTTTACTTACTTTGGATCCCTAGATCCATGCATAGTGCCTGTCTGCATTAGAAGTGGACTCCACACTGTAACCAAACTGACAGCTCACTTTCAGGCCTGCAGAAAAACGGTGCTTTGTACAGCACCAAATAAACGCATTCTGCAGAAATGAATAAATGAAAGGTGAACCGGTGCAGCCATGTATTTGAAGAAACCCGCCATCATCACATGATGTCCAAGCATCAGGAGTAAAAGCTTAAGACAACCAACTTGTTTGCTCTGCGGGTTGCCAAATACCTGCTAATTATCTTCTTCACTTGCAAACAATGATGCTTTTAATGTTATTTGGGTAAAAGGGAAAAAAATCAGGAAAATGCTGAGAAAGGAAAAGGACCCAGGCAGAAAGAGGGAGCAGCACCTTCTGAGGCCCTGAGGTAGGAAGAGACTGGTATTTTCTAGGGAATAGAAATCCAAGGCAGCTTGGATATACAAAGCAAGAGGGAGAGTGGCATGATTTGAAAATAAATGAGCAAGCAAATCAGACAGGGCATGAGGAGCTGGATTAAGAATGTACATCTTCATCCTAAGAGCAACTGGAAGACTTTGAAGGGCTTTAAATGAACCCGTGAAATAATTATGCATTTTTTAAAAGACTTCTCTGTGCTTTGCATGAAAACATTGGGAAGGAAGATCCATTCATAAATTGATTCAACATATACTTATAAAGTACCTACCGTGGATCAGGCACGGAAAAACTGTGCTTTGTACAGCACTAAATAAACGCATTCTGCAGAAATGAATAAATGAAAGGTGAACTGGTACAGCCATGTATTTGAAGAATACTGGGCATAATGAAATAAAGAATATAAAAAGAATTCTTGCTTTCATGGAGTTTACCTTTGAAAAGAAGATGGATAAGCAAATTAATTAATCTTTAGTGTGTTGTACGGTCTGTTATGGGGGAAATATAAGGCAGAAAGGGGAGGACTGGCTAAGAAAAGGAGTGGGTAACTTCTACTTCCACAGAAGTCATCACTGAGAAGATGACATAAGAGCAAATATCTGAAGGAGTGAGAAGTCAGCCATGCTGATATTGGGTGGCGAGCATCCTAGACAGAGGCAAGGGCAAAGGTCCCAAGGTAGCATTTGCTAGGCTTCTAGGGAGACAGCAAGGAGGACATTGTGAACTGGAGAGGCCTGAGCAAGGAGGAGAGAAATCAGAAACCAGGTCAGAGATGGTGGAGGAAGCTCCAATGGACGCTGGTAAGTCACCACAAGGACTTGGATTTCTACTCTGAGTGAGATGGAAGCCACTGGAGGATTCTGAGCAGAGGGTCACCCTGACCACCAGGGGGAAAGGGTGTATGAGGGGCAAAGGCCAGACTGGATGGGGGAAGTTGGAGTAAAAGCAGAAGCAAGAGGGGAGCAAGACGCATGGTACACTTTAAAGATCAAGCCAGGATTTGCTGAAAGATCAGACACATGATGTAGGAAAAGGGGGTCTGGAAGCACAAGGTGGCCGTCCATCAAAATGCACAACTGCGATGGGGCACTTCTGGGAATGGGTCCGTCTTACGTTGTGGGTGCTATGTCTGAGGTGCCAACAAGACATTGGGGCCAAAATAATGAGAAGACAGTCTGGGCTCAGCAAGAGTGACCTCAATGGAGCCAGAAGATACGTGTGGCCAGAGGCTTTGGTAAATAGAGATGGTGCTGGACACAGAGAGCCCACATCTGCTGGAAAGGAGCAATGTGGAAAAGAAGGGGCCAATTTGATGTCTAAGAGAAGAAAGTCAGCCATGCTTGGCAGAAATGCTATAAGCAAAGAAATCCAAGATAAGATGCTAACGTAAAACTCAGAAATAGCGAAGTTTTATCGAATTTCATTCAGAAAGCAAAAACACCAAGTGCAGTTAATTCTTGATAACCCTAACAAATGTTCCCTTCAACTCCAGGAACATGGTGCTACATTTTAAATGGCATGTGTAATGCTTGAAGCCCCAAAAAAGGAAGGGCAGCATTTTAGAAAGCACTGCATTTATTTACGTGTGTACATGTGCAGTCCAACGTCTGGAAGGAGAGACTGCCAAGGTGCAGTCGGTATCTCTCCATGGTGGGGTCGTGGGTGATGGTATTCTTTTCTCCTTTTTGTTTACTTTCTTCTTGTTGATTATCATGGGGGTTTTTTTTGTGTGTAATTTAAAAATCAAAGTCTCAGCCAGGTGCAGTGGCGCACACCTGTAATCCCAGAGGCTGGGGAAGCTGGGGCAGGAGGATGACAAGCTCAAAGCCAGCTTCAGCAATTTAGCAAGGCCCTAAGCAACTTGGCAAGACCCTGTCTTGAAATTTAAAAATGACCAAAGGGCTTGGACTGGGGCTCAGTGGTTAAGCACCTGGGGGTTCAATCCCTGGTACCAAAAAAAAAAAATCAGATTATGGGTTTTGTGCCTCTAGAAAGAAAATCAAAGAGGCAACTGCAAACCCAGTAGGTGCTTCCATTTGGTCAAAGCCTCGCTGCATTGCCGACTCCATTTTTCAGCGCTCAGATGTCAAATGCTACTAACAGCATGAAAATTCCAATTTGGGTAAAAATGACATAAACAAATTGATATATTTTAAGATCATAAATAAGAAATAAAAGCCATGCTTGCTATGCAAATTAGCTAAAAGCAGGATCTAGGGTGTCATATTAACCTTTTCGAAGATCACTTGTCATTGTTGAGAAGAAGCAAGGAGAAAAACAGAAATGTAGAGGGGCCAAGTGAAATATCATGGAGGAACTTGGGGGACCTGAGGTGCCAACCAGGATGGGACGCCCATCCTTTCTTTAATTTGCATTTGGTTAATCTCTAACCCAGAAGAAAATTCATTATTTTGCTTTCTTGGCAGCAATGAGGCCACCCAAAATCCCATGTATTTATCTTTTGCAAATTATGTTTATATTTAATACTGGATGCTTGAGATTCTCTTACATGCAGAATGTCACATTTCACTGGTGGCGTGACACCTTCCCTGTGCACTGTGTTTATATTTTATTTGACATAGTATTTTGGGGGGCCTGCAGGCATCTCCACAGTTCTATATTGTACATGTTCTTGTTCTTCATTTCCAGCTTGGAGCATTTATACTACTTGCTGCATCAACTTTGTGATAACGGTCACTGAGGTTCATCGTGAGCAGGTTGTTAATACCTGTGAGCCTGGTGCTGTCAACCCTTGTGGATCAGCAGCCATCTGAGTAGAGAATCCAGATTCAAAACTGGAATGGTGTCAATAGGCATCCAAGAAAGGAGCAGAATTTAACTGAAGTCGAAGTTGCAGGAGTGGGAAAAGGGACATTGAAATGAATCAGAGAGCAAAAAAGTTACCACATTTCTTTCCTTCTCCTTAAATAGGAAATTTGCAGATTCGATACAACGTGGGAGGCACCAGAGAGCCGTACAATATCGATGTAGACCACAGGAACATGGCCAACGGACAACCCCACAGTGTCAACATCACCCGTCATGAGAAGACCATAATGCTCAAGGTACTTACATGTGTTCATGTAAACTATATACATGATAATAACATAATGTGTCTCTAGGCCCTGTAATACTTGGCTGTTGGCTTTCTTTTGGGGGGTCAGGGAGGTAGAAGAAACAGTTTATTATACTTTTTATTACAAATGGTTTAACTAAGTAAAAAGATATGCAGTCGTCCCCTGGTATGCATGGGGCATTAGTTCCCCTCCCCCATGGATACCAAAATCTGAGAATGCTCAAGTCCTTTATATATAATAGCAGAGTACATGCCTGTAATCCCAATGACTTGGGAGGCTGAGGAAAAAGGATCGCAAGTTCAAGGCCAGCCTCAGCTGCTTAGCAAAACCCTCAATCACTTAGCAAGGCCCTTCCTCAAAATAAAAAATAAAAAGGACTATGGGTGGCTCGGTGGTACAATGCCCCTGGAGTCAATCCCTAGAACCGAAATAAAATTAAAATGACATAGTATATGTAAAGAACCTATACACATCCTCCTATGTACTTTAAGTCACACCCAGTGACTTATAATACCTCATACAATGTAAGTGCTCTATAAATAGTTGTTGTAGTACGTTGTTAAGGAATTAATGACAAGAAAAAAAAATACCCCAAAAAATGAATGACATGTTCAGTACAGATGCAATTTTATTTTTAAATATTTTTGATCCGCCGTTGGTTGAATCTGAGACCGCAAAACCCCTGGATATAAAGGTCTGACTGTAATTCTTACCAGAAAGGCACTGGCAAAGTGCATGGTAGCAAATATCTTTAGGGAGAAGTAGACCTAACGTCCCGTCTGTGTACTCTGGGCTTTCCGGCTGTCAGCCCTCTCTCTCACCTTGGTGCCTATCAGGCTGCGGTTCCCCTCTACCACATCATCTCCTGGCCACACTCTCGCCTGCCTGGACCTTATCATGTTTCCAGCAAAGGTTATTTGGTTTATCTGACCTACTTCTTTTACAACTAACATAATATAAATAACTATTTTTTCTCTGTGGAGCTTTTGCCTTTAGAATCCTCAAAACACAGTCTACCCAGAACCTCAGACTCGGGCTGTAGGCTTTCGGCACAAAGGGACAGTTGGATTGTGACACTAGAGTTTTATTTCACATTTTGTTGCCCCCACCCTCACCACCAGTTTTCACAATGAAAAGCCCACCCGGGAGACAGCGGGAATCATCACCTGGGGAGGTCTCCCTGGGAACGGAGCCAAGAGACCAAGGATGGGAGCTGTCTCGGCATTCTCTAGGAGGAGTTCAAAATAGATACCTGTCAGGATGGAACAGCAGCGGGGTGCTGCTTTGTCAGTGAAGTGGAGTGTCATTTGGCAGTGGCTTGGCAGCACCCAGACCTCATTTGGATTCGGTGGGTGGCTGGGGGAAGTTCAGGTTGCAGAGAAAGGCACAGCCCTGTCTGTCCTGCGTGCTGGTGGATGTCACATTCATAACTTGATGTGGAGTCCACGTGTGGCCTTCAGCAGTGAATGCCAGAGGGCACTTTCAGGAGCGGTCTTCCCTGGGAAAATGACAGCACGCTCCTACAGCTTGTTATGCCATCTATCAAATAAGACACAGACACGGTTCTCTCCCAGTGACCTGCCAGTTCCCTGGGCCAGCACAGCACCCAGCGCATCTGAGGAGCTGCAGACTCTTGACTGAGCATATCGAGCCCATTCTCTAACCACGGCTCAAGTCCATTCTAAAACACCAGCAAGTCCAGGAGCCGGGTGGCCTTATTCCACTGGATGGACGTGTTCAGGGGCCCTTGGACATTCTCTTAAATACCCAATCTGTTACCTCGTCTTTAAAAAGTGATTTATCTTGACATTTCCCCTTGCAAAATAATACTGGAAGTTAAAAAGAGCTAAACAATTAGCATTAAAGACAAGAAAATAGAGGAGACCCCACAGCCACGGAGTTGAGTAGGGTCCACCCTCACTCTGCCACAGAGCCCTAGAGACCCACCTGAGAAAAGGGAGGGGTGGCTGGTTGAAGACCTGGGGCTTGTGAGGCACAGAAGGCCAGGGGTCTCCACGTCCTAGAAGTCAGACAACTGTAGAGAACCCGGGGAACTAGAAAGGGAGGGGAAGTCTGGCCCTAATGTTGGGGTGTTTTGGGGCAACAAATGACACCCCCAAAAATCAGTTCAGAACCAATTTATTGGGGAGAATTATATAATTTAAGGAACAGAAAACCAACTCTTGGGGAAGAGAATTCAGGGAACCTAGATCACAACTAGACTAGAATATCGCTGGGCCAGCCTCTCCCCGCCCCACCCGCCCACCACTCCAGCCTTCCTGGTCTCCCCTGTCTCTCTCTGAAGCCGGGGTTGACTACTTCTTACTGCAGGCTCCATCTTGCACATATCATGGGTCATAGTCGCTGGATTCATAGGCTCCTGTCTTCCCAATTTGACTACCAGAAGAAAGGGCCCCATGTTCTTGATTCTCCATTTAAACTCCCAGAAGATCTCTAATGGGCCCCACTTGGGTCATGTGCTCACCCAGCTGGGGATGGGAGAAGAGAGATGCACAGTTCCTAGTCTATTCCTATTGTCAGAGTGGGCAGCTGGGGACTCACCTCGGAGAACAGAAAGGAGTGAAAAGGAGGAGCCTTGCTGGGTGCGGGGAGCTCTGGATGGGCCACTCTGAAGGAGGGGAAATAGGCCAGGAAATCCATCCACACAACAAGAAGGATTTCTGCTGTAGGACATGCACCCCAAGAGCTGAACAGCCCTGCATCCCACATCTTGTAGCTGTGATGCAATCACACTAAGGTCCCCAGATGTGTTCCAAGAACTGCCTGAGCTGCTGGGGAAGACTTCTGGCTTGGGGAGCTCTGGCCTCTCCAGCCCAGCCTCTTCCCACCAACCCAGGCTCATTACTACAGTCTGTTCTCCCCTGAAGGATGAAGGGAAAAAGGTAGAAGGTGGTGGACAAGGAAAAGACAGGACTTCTCATGGAAAACTGGGTCCCAGAACTCCCCATGACCCACTTCCTTTCAGGCAGGAGGTCTGGGGAGCTGGAAGTCATTCTAAAGGTACCTTTACACCTGCAAAAAATACCCTCTAATATTTTCCTTACAACAATCTACAAATCTACCTTGAGAATTTCTACAACCTTAACAATGTGTGGGAAGAGAGATAATAAAACATTAGCAGTGATTATCCCTGGGTGAAGGGATTATGGATGGTTCTGTTTCCTCCAGAGTTTCCTGCATTTCCTCATTTTCCATGATAAACACGTGTTGCATTTTTATAAGAGAACAAAAACATGAAACATACATATATCCTCAACCACTTCTGATAGCCTCCTCTTCCATAAAATAGAACGGCCAAGACAATCACTTCAAATTAAGACTTTCACAATCAAAGAACAAAAATAAATCAGAGCTGAACTTGGCAGTGCTGTGGAAAGATGCCTTTGGGATTCAGGTGAACTTTCACGCATTTATACATGCTCAAACATCATACAATTTACATGATGTTTATCAGTGTTTATGGTGTTTTTAAAATCAGGTTTACCTTACTAGCTGGGTTTGGCTAAAGCTAACATCAAATTAATTTGCATTCCCTGCGCACACACCGTCTGAAACGGTGCTGAGCACTTGAGGGAAATTGACCTTGGATGAAACATTTGCTGCCAAAAAATAAAGCACCCAATCTCCACACCGATAATGAAGAACCGGCACTCGCAGTTATCAGACACCAGAATGAATGAGAACCCACCAGGACCGCCAAGTGGCGTCACTGATGAACACTGGCCGGGATAATGGCTTAAGGCTTGATGCCAGTCAAAACATAAGCAAACTCCAGCTGGCAGAGGGCACCGGAGGAGTCCTGTGTGCCCTGAGAAATGGGGTCAACCGAGCTTCACCACCACAACGTCCAAGTCTTGTGTGGCCATCCTTCCTGCTGTCCACCCTGTTTGCCTTCCTCCCTCTTTCCTTTCTTTCCTCCCAAATACCTTGTACATGGGATCCAAGGAGGTCGGTAGGAAGCCCAGAGAATGACACAGGGAAATAAAGTCAGTTGTGGAACGCACAGCCCCGAAACACGGGGAAGCAGAGCAGCCTTATTCAACACAGTGTCCCACCCACTCCCATGGTGGCTCTGAGCTTCTCCAGAGCCAGAGGATGAAAGGAACCACTTCCTCTACAGCATCGAAGCTTTTCCTCCTCTATCCTCTTTTTCAATACCACGGATCACATTTTCTGACATAGAGAACAGCCCTGCGCATGGTCCCCGAATACAACATCACATACATGACAGCTGCTACCTGGATGGAGTGTCCCTGTGTTCTAGGCACGACTTGACACTCATTTTCATATTCAGTCCTCGCACAGACCTTATGAGCTGTGTGCCATTTATTATCCCAGTCTTAGAGTCGTTTTTGAAACTAACACCCAGGAATTGTGAGGTAACCCACCCAAGGTCAGGGTGCAGGGCAGAGCCGAAGCAGAGTTGAACAAGGTCTGTCACTGCGAGGTTCACACGTGCTCCAGACCATTATTTAATGGAGAGATGTCTGGAGCTCACAAAATCCTGCAAGTAGATCCCTCTAACTGGTACGACCTTGAGGATTAATGCATTTTTATTATTCTTATAGAATAGTTTAAAACATTTAAAAGCAAAAAATAATAATAATAATACACATATTTATGTACCCATCACCCAAATATTACAAATTTTGATATTTTGATGAATTTCTTCAGGTCTTTTGTTTGTTTGGGTTTTGTTTTTTCGTTGTTTTTTTTTTTTAAAAGATGCAGGGACAGTCGAAGGTCCTCTGTCCTCCTGTTATGTGGTGGGCTCTGGGAAAAGCGGGAGCAGTGCCTTCTGCATCACTGCAGCAAAGGTGACCGTATCTCCCTGGGAAAGTCAAGCATAACTTCAAAATGGAATTCTGCCCAATGCCCCTGCAGAGAGCGGGGCGGGACGGAATGACGGGCAGGTGAAGGGACGAGAGTGGAGAGGAAGCAGCTGCTGACATCCAGCCTGGTCCAAG